GCTTTTTTTGTTAACCATGAAGTCTTGCCTTGTTGTAATAAGTATAAAAGATCACCTCACCCTTAGGGGGGTGCAAACTTGGACAGAGTACATTTCACTCCCTCGTCCAAGTCACTGATGAAGACATTAAAGAGTATCGGTTCAAGGACCGAACCCTGTGGGACCCCACTTCCCACACCCTTCCAGGTCGAAACCGACCCATCCACCATGACTCTCTGGGTGCGACCCTCCAGCCAATTCGCCACCCACTGGACTGTGTAGTCATCCAAGTCACAGCCTCTTAACTTGTTCACCAGTATGGGGTGGGATACCGTATCGAAGGCCTTCCTGAAGTCTAAGTATACGACATCCACCCCTCCTCCTGTGTCCAGGCGTTTCGTAACCTGGTCATAAAAAGAAACTAGATTGGTCAGGCACGATCTGCCTGCCATGAACCCATGCTGGTTTCCCCTCAGCATAATTTGTCCTGCCGGGCTCTCACAAATGTGAGCCTTGATAATTTTTTCAAAGACTTTGCCAAGGATGGAGGTGAGACTGACTGGCCTATAGTTGCCCGGGTCCTCTTTCCTCCCCTTTTTGAAAATGGGGACCACGTTGGCCCTCTTCCAGTCCTCTGGGACTTGGCCTATGTTAGTCTGGACTTGGACTATGTTAGTCTGGAGTCAGGTAGAAGGCTGGGCCAGGTGGCACCTTAGAAACTAACTGGTTCAGAGAGGCATAAGCTTTTGTAGGCAACAACCTATTTTATCAGATGCTATCAACTGCAAAAGTTTTTCCTTTGGAGGAAAACACGGAGTGAGCAGTAGCCGTATGGTGCAGGAGGGATTTGTCTCAGTTCTCATGGACTGTTCTTGTACAAACAAAAAAAAATAAGGTTTTAAAAAGTCAACATCAGGCTGCCATTCACAAACCCTTCCCATTTTATTGAAAACTTAATTTTTGAAAAATCCCTCTAAGAAGAGAGAACTCTTTGCCTTTGCATCTGAATCTGTCAGGGCATTTGCTTTGTGTTGGTCCCAGACACAACCTTGAATTTTTTCCCTAGAATCCCCAGGGAACCCAAATGTTCCCATATCTCATTCTCCCAATGTGCCCAACTGCTTGGTGTATTACTGTCCCTGGCCCAGGTGGCCTTGTCCCATCCCATCCATCTCTGCTGTCTCCATGGGCCGTGTACCCTCCTCAAGTGACAGAGTTATAAGCGATGGCCAGCCCTGCACCCTTGAACCATGTGGTGGTGCTGGGGCCCTTCCCGATTCCCTTCCCGTGGCGGGGGTGGGGGGGTGGGAAAGAGGGTGTTTGCACATGTGGATACACTTAAGTCAGCCATAGGCCCAGACAGAGGATACCCTCACGACACCCACAAAGCATTTACTCAAGGAATGTGGAGAAACCCTGTTTGAGGCACTTTGGCTTGAAGGATGAGTCCTGTGTGCTCTGTGTCTGCAGTGAAACATGGGATTGTGAGTCGCCAGTGTGGGCCTGATGGGCAGTGGGTGCTGGTGAATGGCACGCAGCCGTGGAGGGACTACTCGCAGTGTGAGGAGGGGATGGAGTCCACAACAGAGGAGGTGAGGCTGCTGCATCTGATGTGGGGCTGTCCCAGCTCTGCTGCCCAGTCAGTTACAGGGGGTGTTGACCCCACCCTGTCTCTCACTTTCCCCAAGTAACCATACCTCCTAGCTAAGCAGAGCTTCCCATTTCACCCATCCATGCCAATCTCTGGTCCCTTGTAGAGGTCATTGCCAAGCTGAGGTTCTGCTCCCTGACGGAGGACAGGCCCCAAGGCAAGGCCCCATGGGACCCTACTGCCCACAGCTGCACTGACACAGCCTGGGCATGGCCTTGCAACCCAAGCCTCTGAATGCCTATGGCAGAGCAAGTACCTCTGCCAGCTTGGAGAGATGCTGTCCTCTCCCTGCATGCCCACCTAGTGTGGGGTGGGAAGCAAGGGCACTCAAGGGCTGAGCTAACCAGCTTCACTCTGCTTGTGTCCAGGAAAGTGTCCGTAAGCTGATGGTCAGCTTCAAAGTGCTCTACACGGTGGGCTACTCCCTGTCGGTCCTGACCCTGATCTCTGCCCTACTCATCCTCACCATTTTCAGGTAGGGCCTGGGTTCAAGCCCACAGGGAGCAGAGGCTGTGGCCTCACTGTACGGCTGGTGGAGGGGAGGGAGGGTACAGAGGAGAGCTTGTGCAGCCAGTGCCCCTCCTTATTGCTCCTGGTCCCTGCTGAGGGAGGGGCTGGGCTATTGAAGTCTGCCATACTGGGCACAGACCCCTTTCTGGGGGAGGTTTCCAAAGCTCTGCCATGAGTGCTGGACATGGTCCCCTCTCCCTGGGTCCAGGAAACTCCGCTGCACAAGGAACTACATCCACGCCAACCTCTTTGCCTCCTTTGGGCTGCGAGCAATTTCGGTGATTGTCAAAGATGCACTACTGGAGAAGAGATGGGGCATGGCGATCATTCAGGTGTCCGACTGGGAGGTGCTGCTAAGTAATGAGGTAAGTCTTCCCCCAAAGCCACTGGCTGAGCAGTGCATATGTACCCCTCCTTACTGCAGGCTGTAGTTATCCCATGTGCCTAGAGGTCCATAACCTGCTAGCCTGGTGGGGAGCTAGAGTTAGGGCTAGTACCTTGCTGGCTAGAACCAGATCCTCCAGCCCCAACACAGCCTGACATGCACTGATCCTTCCATTGGTGCAGCCAAAGGGGGAGTCTAACACATCAGCGAATTCTGCACAAGTTGCTTAGGATCCTGAATCAGCATCACAAAGTGTGTGCGCGCACAAGAGACTTTGCTCAGAATCACCACACGCAGCCCAGTGGAGATCAGCTCCCCCATCATTGGATGTCCCTATTACAGCAGTGACATAGCCCCTGCAGGGCAAGGGAAGACCTGCTGTGCAGCCCTTCTGTTTGCTCTGGCTGCCCATCCAGCACTGGGCAGAGAGTTGAAACCCTTGGCTATCAACAGGGTCATTGAAAACAGGGGAAAGGAGCCCCTCTGTAGTATGGTCTGGTATGGATCCCCCTGTGGCCCTTATTCTGCTGCTGCTGTCATTAGACCATACACACACCCGCAGTAGAGGGCCCAGAGGCAGGCAGCCTATAACAGGTCACTCTCCCCAGTGCCATCTTTTGCATTATCTGCGCCCTATGTGGGGGCATCCTTGGAGTCCCCTTAAGGCTTCCTGCTGTCTACTCGTCTGCCACGTCTTGATGGAAATATAAGCGGGAGACTGCCTATTGATTTTGTATGTTGGGGTCCTCTGCCAACACTGGCCTTGAACCCAGTCTCTCTAGCTAGGCCTCCCCATCTAAACCCACCAGGTAGGGTTTGACTCTGAGGCTCTAGCTCTCTACTCTTGGGGCTCTCGGCCCTCCTTTTTGGCTCCAATCTGGAGCACAGCCTCCCTAGCCCAAAGGCCCATCCACCACCCCTCCATAGCCAGAGGGTCACAAGTTTGAAGTTGGGCAAAGGCCCCAGACCTCCAACGTCCCAGTTCAAAACAAGAAAAAAAAATCCCATGCACAGTCACACCCTGCGTGCACCTGGCCTTTTAGGCTTGCCCTCTCTAGCGTTGGGCCTGTGCTCCGAATACTGTGCCTTCTCTGTCACTGAGTACCCCAAACACTGCACCTACGCAGGCACCAGAGTTCCCACGCTATGGTGGGGTTCCAATGAGGCCTCCTCCTTCCCCAAATAGCCTTACCCAAACCACCAGTCTTATTCAATAAGAACAACAACAACAACAAATATGAACAGCCCTGCCCATGGGCAATAACCACCACTAAGAGAAGATGCGATTAAAGGCAGCACACCAGCTTACATTTATTCATGATTTGACTCCCCACTGTCAGCTACAGTCCTTCTTCTGGGGTTGCTGCTGTCTCTCAGGGGTCCTCTGTACTTCCTCTCCTCCAGCCTTTGGACCACTCACCAAGCCTCTTCAGGGAGCTCTGGGCACACTCCTCCCCTTTAGCTGTCCAGCCCAGGGTTTTTATAGTCCTTTCTGGTCAGCTGACTAATTGTCCAGGCTCAGCTTTTAACCCCCACCTTACCAGCCTGCTATGCCCAGAAAGTTCAAGTCTTAAAGGGGCTGACCTGCCTTCTGGTAACAGGGCTAGGGTTCCCTGTTACATAGCCCCTGCCACCATATTGAGCAGGCAGCAAGTTGGTACCTGCCCTATCCCAAGCCCCTGGGCAGGGGAGTTCTGGGCCTCCTCTTCCTCATGAATAACTCCCCCTCTGGGGCTCCCCTTGCAGGCTGCAGTTGGCTGCCGAGTGGCTCAGGTCGTGATGCAATACTGCATTCTGGCTAATCACTACTGGTTCCTGGTGGAGGCTGTCTACCTGTACAAACTCCTGATTGGAGCAGTGTTCTCTGAGAAGAACTATTACACACTCTACCTGTACCTGGGCTGGGGTAAGGAGGTGCCATGGTGCATGTGTGTATGTGGTCTTGTGCCCATTGTTAGGCAGTTGTTACATTAGGCACTGGAATTACAGAGAACAGAGCAAGAAGCTGGGTGAGGTCTGGGAGCCTCACCAGGGCAGACCCGCAGACACATGGGCCTCAGTCACCAGGGGCTTCCATTTGGTTTTGTGAGGCTGTCATGAAGCAGCAGCAGACAATCAGAAATCCCTGCAAGTGCGCTCAGGAATCATCAGGTAACTGATGTGGGTGGATGATGACCTCTAGCGGTGCCTACATGACAGACATAGCTGGTTGGCAGGGTGCGAAGTGGAGGACTGGCTGTGGACTGTCCTTAACTTGGATGTCAGAATAGGTCCCTGCCCACCTGGGAGGCAGTGTATGCCCTTTGCCTGTGAGAGCTACTTCTCAGCTCAGGTGGCTGCTTGGTTTTCACTGCGTTTGCTGTGTGACTTGCAGGAACTCCTGTGGTGTTCGTGGTGCCGTGGATGATGGCCAAATACTTGAAGGAGAATGCAGAGTAAGTGCCAAGCTCTGCTCATGTGTGGGTGGAGCCTCCAGGGGCTGATGAGTGCCCTCCAGCTTTGGTCTCATGGCACAGAATGGCTGCAGGAAATGGAAAGGTTTTGGAGCAGAGGGCTCTGCCCTTAACCCAGCCTGCTTCTCATACAGGGCACCTGCCCTTCACTCATGGACTGGGCACAGTAGCATAACTAGGTGTGGGCGAGTAGGGTGCCAGGCCCAGGCACCAGCTTAGGGGGAGTGCCAGAATGGTGGCCTCTTGCAGAGTCTTTTCTGGTGTGATGCAGTAGCAGCAGCCAAGGTCTTTGAGTCCCTTAGGTAGGTAAAACTGGCCACCCCAACCTCCCACTCCTGCTCTCTGGCACTTGCTTCCCCCACACTCTCCTAGCAGGGTTTTGTCATGGGTGTAATACCTGTGAGTTATGCCTCTCTGGTGAAAAGCTCCTTGTGCCGGTTGGTCGGGCCCATTGAGATTTATTGCTGGCTCCAAGAACAGTAGGAAAGGACCTGGGAAAGATCCTGTTTATGGATCACCAGCTTCCAATGTGTCCCTGCTCCGCTTTCCCTGCTCCAATGGAAGCTGGTCACCATGTGCTTGTGCAAAGATTCAAGGAGACGCATATTAACTTCTGAAGAGCTGCATGTGGCTTCAGAGCTGCAGGTTGGCCAGCCCTGCTCTAGGGGATTGTCCTGCCTGACTCCATGGAGTAGGCTTAAGAGAAACACGTGAGGAAGTTGGATGTTGGTCCCTGGTGACAGCATACCGCAAGTGGCTGAGACACTAACCTTAGCAGACCAGGAAGGAGCTTCCCTGGCTGAAACTGCCATATGCCCCCTAAATCTGATGGGAAGATCAAGCCACAGAGGGCTTCACCTGCTCAGCTGCTGTGGCACTCCAAATACAACCTCCAGGAACGAGTCAGGCTTGGTGCTATGCCCGGTGTGCCAGGCATCTTCCCCCCCAAGTGCTGGCCTCTGCTGGAAATAGAAGGCTGACTGGGACTTGGGGATGGGTAGGGCAGAAGAGGAAGGTTCAAGAAAACAGGGAGGCACCACTCCCTCAGTGCCAGCAGTACTATCAGGCTGAGGGGTGGACACCTCCCTCTGATGGGATGGCACATCCTCAAGGTCCAGTAGCTTCTTTCTCCCTCGCCCCCTGGGTGCAACCCCTTCCCTTCCCCCGCCCTGTGGCCAGTGCCCTGTATTAACCTCACACCTCTCTCTGTCCTGTGTTGAAGGTGCTGGGCTCTGAATGAGAACATGGCCTATTGGTGGATCATCCGCATCCCCATCCTGCTGGCATCCCTGGTACGAGATCTCAGATGCCTTTTCTTGTGTCTAATATCAAGTGATACAGGGGCTGCTCCATTCCAAGAGCAGCAGAGCTGGTCACTGCCATGGCAGCTTGGCACAGGGACAACGCAGCCTCTGGGAACAGCCCAGCCTCTGCTAACTATAGAGCTGTGCCCTTCTCTAATGGTACCCAATGAGTTTCCCCTGAGGGGGAGCTCAGTATCATTATCCCATTGCACAGCTGAGAAACAGAGGCATAGAGTGGGGAGGGACTTGCCCTAAGACACTCAGGAAATAGCACCAACACCTTTTGGCCTTTGCTCACCTGCAGCAGGTATCAGAGCAGGGAGGAGACTTGTGCTCACCAACAGCTGAACCTCTCTGTTGAAGATGAGGCAGAATTGTATGATCCTGACCTGGGCTGTTGGGGTAACCATGGGGAGACACTAGGAACACCGTTCCAGCTGGTATGGAGAGCCTAAGGGAGGAGTCGGCAATGTTTTGGGCCAAGTGCCACAAAATCCTGCAACCTTAACTTGGAAGATGTTGGTGTGCCAGGGGCAGATGGCAGGGGAGCCACAAGGGGCCTGATCCTTGTGCAGCCCCAGCCCCTTCCCTGCCATCTGCCCTGAGGCACATGTGCAGCTGCTTCCAGCAACAAACCAGGTTGGGGCTCTGGACCCCGGTGCAGCCATTTGTAGCCTTGCAGCTGCCTGCTACAAGCAGCCTGGCTCCAGGCAGGAGGACACCAGGCTCAGGTTCCTGCCCAGCATGGGCTGCTTGCAGCAGGTGGCGAACAGCCTGGGCTTCGTGGTAGATGGCAGGGTCCTGCCCAGAGCCGAGGTGTGATGAGCAAAATGGCTTCACGTGCCATGTTCTGGCACGTGTGCCAGGGGTTGTCAACCCCTGACCCAGGGCATCCTAGGAGACTGCTCTGGGAGTCCATCTGTGGCTCGATGGTCACCCATAGTGTCCAAGCCTGTAATTACACACCATGCTATGGTGTCTTGGTTATTTGAATGCTCTTGCTGTTCTCAGTACCATGGATCTCATGGGCCTTGGGGTCATTCTCCAAGACTGGACCCTCCTCCCAAGAGGTTGGTTGCCACCCACTTCCTGCAGTATGCAGGGGTCCCACCCACTACTTCCAGGTTAATCCTGTATATTCATGGCAGACGGGGTAGGTTAGAAGAAGGCATCCTGAGGGCTGGGATGTGGCAACGCACAAGGGCATCCTGCCTGAGTGAAGTCACCCCCCAATGTTCCTTCCTCCAGATTAATTTGCTGATCTTCGTGAGGATTCTCAAGGTGATCCTGGCTAAGTTGAGGGCAAACCAGAAGGGCTACGCTGACTACAAGCTCAGGTGAGTGCATGCTGCAGCTGGGTGCCCATAGGTGTACAGCCAGTGGAGACCAGGGTCCTTCCTTCTGGCCATTGAGGCCAGGCAACCTGTCGCCATGACATGGGACCCAGGCAGGGGGTGTTAGCAAGGAGCAGCCAGCACAGGCTCTCTGCTGCAAATGTGTACATGTGCGCATATGCAAGCACATGTCCACGTAGGCTCCTGGCCAAAGCTGCAGGACAGGGGTTGCTAACCCTGAGGACTGCTAAGAAATGTGGCAGAGGCCTGGGGCCATGCACCCACATCATAAAATCAAGCGTGTTGCAGTCACCATTGTTTTCACCTCCTGCAGGGCACCAGTGCCAGCCAGCTGTGCCCCATCCCTGCCTGGCTCCATGCTGGGACTAGAGCTGTTTGGGAGGGTTTTTTGACGGAACGGGGATTTTGTCAGAAAATTCCATTTGGTCAAATCTGAAGCTGTTTTGTGGGAACGTGTTGGTTCTGGATGGCACATCCCCTAGGACATGCTTCTTGGGTCTGGGGGTGGAGCTTCTAGTCAGAGACTCACCCAGAACAGCCTGGTGGTCGTGGCAACATGGAGGATGTGGAAAACCTGGGTACCGACTCCTGCTCCAGTGAATGTTTAATCATCTGTATAAAGTGGGACAGCTCCAGCAGGAGAGACTGAGACTTGCCTCAGCAGAGCCAGCAGCCTGGTGGGTAGAGTGCTCACCTGGGATACGGGAAGAAAGTGGAGCAGGGACATATGGGTCCATGCTAAGGCAATGCCTACCCAGCACCTACTGGCTCACTGGGGGTAGGGCTCTCCTCACTCCCTCCCCAGGTTTCCTCCTGAGGCTAAAACATTCCTGTTTTGCATCTCAAATAGCTTTGTGGGCTCAGAACATCATTCCCTGGGTCTCTCCCTCCCTCCCAGGGTGCTGCCCTTGCAGGCAAGGGGAGCTGCAGGCAATTGTAATGGTGGGAGGAGTACCAGGGAGGGGGGTGTTCACCATCCCATTTCATTTCCCATCTGCAACCCACCTCCTCCCAAGCCCCTCCAACTTCTCTGCTGTCTGCTCCCTGCCAAGCATCCAACTCTAATAGCTGACTCAGCTGCCACCTGCCAGTCCCACCTGTCAATCTTTTACATAGTCAAAGAAACAAGGACTGCACTGTCTTTCCTAACTAGTCTCCCAGAACCCTGGCAGGACAGGCTGCCAGTATTATCCCCTAATTGACACCTGTCCCATTTGACAGGCAGGGACAGAGCTGGGACTGAAACTCCAGCAATCTGCTCTGGGCATTTCACCCGCTGCCTGCATCAGGCCTCCAAACACAGGCCCTATTCCCTCTCCCATTAACTCTTGTTGGTGGTGGGAATCCCCTTTGCTTCCAGGTTGGCCAAGGCCACGCTGACCCTCATCCCGCTCTTTGGGATCCACGAGGTCGTCTTTATCTTTGCCACAGATGAGCAAACTACGGGGATCCTGCGCTACATCAAGGTCTTCTTCACACTCTTCCTCAACTCTTTCCAGGCGAGTCAGGAATGCTAGGGAGCTGGGAGCCCTGTGCTGGGCAGGGACAGTGACTGCATTCTCTCCCTCTGCCCTAGCCAGAAAAGAGCGTGAGTCTTTTCCTCAGTTCATCCATGGAAGCCAGTCAGTGCACTTGCCACAAGTTGCATTCCCTCCTTGGACCCTGTGGCTAGTATCAGTAGGGCTGTATGCTCTATACTGGGAGGAAAGCAGGGGTGTGAATGCATCCAGGTCCTATCAGGGGCTGGTGGAACGGTTTCTGGTTGGCCACCTAAATACACCCAAATCCTAATAGAAAGCTGTCTCAAGAGGCCAGGGGGAGTGACATGGGAGCTGGGGTAGGACATTCTGCTGCATCATGGCATGGGTGAGCTTCCCTCTCTGGAGGGGCTCAGTTGTAGTGGGCTGTCCCCTAGAAGCGGGCCATGAGGTACATGCGACATACTGAGCAGCAGCTACCAGCACCTGCTCAAGCCAGATTAAGCACTCTGTCTGGCTCTCATGCCTGTGCTCACTCTCTCTCTCTCTCCCAACAGGGTTTCTTGGTTGCTGTGTTGTACTGTTTTGCCAACAAAGAGGTAGGCACCCCTGTGCTCTGTCTGCCATGGGGTTATTCTATAGACCTCCCTTAATCCAGTCCTTATTAGGTGGCCACGCTCTGACTGACCAAGAACATGTGCCCTTGCTGGTGAGGACTTGGGAATGGACAATGAATGATGCTGAGTTCTATGGCAGTTAGTGGAAAGGGGCTGCCTGGGAAAAAGCACCTCACATGCTCCTTTCCTTTTGGGTAGGTGAAGTCTGAAATGAAGAAGAAATGGCAGCTCTGGAAGTTAGACCATCCCATGCTCTTTTGCACACAGTGATGACATTGGCACAGCACCCAGCACACTGCCTGAAACCCAGGAGAGAGCCATGAGGATCTCAATTATTAGAGGGGCAGACCAAGCCATGACCTGCCCCTGCACCTATTACTGCATGGTAGCTGGTACCACACCTCTGCTCTGCTCGTGCCCAACTGCACTGGGGATAGCAGATGCTGTGTGCAGCAGCGAGGATGACTTGGAGCACTAGCCAGGCATAAGGAGTGCTGTTACTGGTTGTGCTGGTAGTAGGGCAAAGTAACTGTTTTCAAAGCACAGCTGCACCTGAGAGCCTTGCATACTGGCAAAGAGACTGCACTAGCTGTGAGATGGTGGACACTGCGATTCTTCAACACCAAGTCCCCTCCACTGCAGCTGAACAGCAAATCCTGAGGCACACTTGAGCAGAGGTAGACTCTGCTCTTTGAAAGACACATAGCCGTGGCTGTATTTTCTGGAGACATGGGAGGCTCGTAGAGAGAACTCCTTTGTGGTTCACTGCATAGCAGGACACGGAAGGCCCAAGGCAGAGGATGGTGGACAGTAGGGCTGTGCAAAACAGCATCGTCCTGTTTTGACTTAAGTTTCAATGGAACAGCATTTTCATTTCGAATTTCGTTTAGATTCAAAACTACTGTTCCGTTTCGTTTTGTCAAAAGTTTCACCGTTTTGACGCTTTGCCCATAGGCTATTATGGGGAAGCTCGAAACAGCCTATAACTTTGTCATTACTGGCCTGATTTGGATGAAACTTGCAGGAATGGTAGCTCCTTCTGAGGGCATGAATCCTGCCAGGTTTCAAGGAGATAGGTGCAGGGGTTTCAAGGAAACTGCACCTCAAGCTGTGGACAAGCAAAACTCAACACACAGTGTCACCTGTGTCGCAAGGCGCAGCAGGGTGAAAGCTGCAGGCTTGCTAGCCCCTGCTGAGGCCATGAAGCCTGTCAGCTGTCAAGGCGATAGGTGCAGGGCTTCTGGATTCTGGGGCCCTGCACCATTAGCTGCTGACAGGCAAAACTCATGACATTGGGGGGAGGGGGGGGGGTGACACACTGTGTATGTTAAGGTGCACCCTCACTCAACTGATGCCAAGGCAGAAAGCAGGGCAGTTCAAACAATGCTGCCTTTTATGCAGTTTTTCCATCCCTCCCCCAGAGCACTAGGATTGGAAGAGACCTCAGGAAAGGATGACAGTCACTGGCCAGCTACACATTCAATAATGAGAGCAGTCCTTCCCCCCCACTTTAGTTTGTTTCCCTGCAGGCATGCCCAGCTTGAGCTTCGAAACTCAAAACGTTTCTAAATTTTTGAAACGTTTCAACTTGCCTTGTTTCATTTCAAGGCTGTTTTGAAGCTCTCCATTTCGTTTAGATTTTGCTGTTTCGAGCTCAAAACAAGTCAAAACAGCATTGAAACTAAACTGCCAGCAAAATTTCACACAGCCCTAGCGAACAGTCCCCCCCGATTCCTAGTAACCTGATGGTACAGCACCTGATATCTACCTCCACAGGATGGAACCTGCATCAGCCAGGACTGCATCCAAAAAGTTTCCTTTCATCTGCACAATACCTCTGGATACCTGCAGGAGAAACATGCAGGGATCTTGATAGCTGGGAATGGCAGCTCTGTCACCTGCTCCCACTGATATAGTGAGTGCAGAGATCCCAAACCTGACTGGGCAAGGACTTGGGTTTTCAGTGTTCTTCTGCTAGCAGGATGTCGAGGTATTAGCTGATGCAGTGCAATCAGTCAAGTGCCAAGAGGTGCTCCCTGGAAAGCCTGGGCCCAGCCCCTTTGACACAAACTTACCTAAGGACTAAGCTTGGAAGCTGAGGACCAAGGCCAGTATGTCCCAATCAGGACAATCCTACTAAAACCATAGGAAAACCTAGCTAGTCCTCAAGGTTAGCAAAGCAGGCAATAGAAGCTTTCTGCAATGTGGACCCTTGGGCATGAGAATCTGAACACCAGGCAGCTCTACCCAGATCACTCAAGAGCCACCAGCTGGGCATGCTTTCTATACCAATAACGCTCTGGTTGCACATGAAGTCTGAACCCCCACACATCTCTGGAGGGACACAACATGATGCACAGGGAGGATTATACCAATAATTGTTCTGGAGCACAACAAGGGTTGATGCTACACAGGATGGGAAGGAGCTGTCCCAGACCTCCTTGGGCTTGGCTGCATCCGGGTTGGAGGCCAGCTGGTCAGTTGTGCATGACCTTTTGTTGTTAGCTACAGAGCTGCTGATACAGAGGACAGCACTTTGCACATTCAATGTCTTTTCACACGTAAATAAATGTTTAATTTTTTAATTGAATGTGCTGCTCCGCTCTGCCAGGGACTGCCAGCTGGGCATGGAGGAAAGGAAGGCAGTAGCTGCAGGGCATGGACCTGTGCCCAGCCCCCAGCCTCAGCCCAGGAAAGGCCTGGAGCAGGGAGCTGGGAGCTGAAGCCTCGCTCCTCAGGCTCAGGTTGGCACCACAACCCCCCATGCTGCACCAACTCTTTAGATTGCTGCCAGCAGGTGGAAACCCAAACCTGAACTAGGGGTGACTAATATGCCTCAGCCTAATGCAGAGACCCTACACTCCACAAGTGCTGCACTGGTTCTTTTTGTATTTCAATTAGGTCTGTTGTGAAACTGCAGCAGACAGGATCCTACCACACAGCTAAGTGCTGCCTCCATTCCTAGCAGGCCACTGCAAAGGTCAAAGGGCACAGTCCAGCAGAATGGTATCTGAACTGACACAAAGGTCACTTCACTAGTGCTGGCCAATAGCAGAGCACTAGACTAGGACACAGGGAGACTTGGGTTCTCTTCCTGGCCTCAAAGGCACCAAAGCCATTGGGCCACTTCCTTTACGAGGGAACAGTTGCAAAGAGCTTTGGTTCTGTTCAGAAAGAGACTCAAGTCCTGCCACCTTCACTGCCAGGGGACAACATTAGAAATGGGGCCTGAGTCAGCCAAAGCTAATGTCTGCAGGGATGAAATAGGAAAGGTTGGTCAAGGTGCTTGTAAAGGTAATTGCATCATGAGGTCAGAATGAGACCCCAGGTCAGGTCACTAGCACTTTTTCACAGCACCATGTTTGCACCAGGCCATCCATTTGAGTGTATGCTCATGTCTGTAGGGGCTGTCAGAGGCCTGATGTAATTAATTCTTATTAAGGGAGAAAGAATTCCCAGCTCCAAATACAGCTGTAGGGATTCTCCATGCTCCAGAGGGGCCCACAGGCAGGAGACCAGAAACAGCCTATTTCTAAATGAGCATTTTGTTTAGCAACTTAAGATAACCAATTCCCTTGCTTCCCCGTGCAGGGCAGGCCTAGCCCATCTTTACTGCCTGATGCAGAGAGAACTTTGCGGCATTAGGTTCTGTTAGAGAGCTCTGCTTAAGGGCTCGCTTCCCCCCACCTCCCCCTCATCCCCATGAGCAAACTGACCCAACTACAGCAAGTGTAGTCTCATGCAGACAGACTTATGGAACTCAATGGGCAACCAGCATGCAAATCCACCCACCTTTATATCAAAACAAGGGAAGACCCCAAGGGAGGCATAGGTTTATAATAAATGAAATGAGTGCAGAGCAACTTTTCCATTCTAGACCTATGCTGCTGCTGCAGGCAGGGATGTAGTTTAACATGGCTAAGTTTCAATGACAGTGCAGAAGCTGCTGTAACTTACGCCAGGGATCACAGAGGTTCCTAATTAGTGTGTAATAGATGAAACTCAAGTGGTATCTTAAAACTAGTTTTACACCCGCTCCCCCCACTCTTCCTGCAAGAGCTGAACTGGAGGAACAAGCAGCCAGGCTCAAAGTGTTACCAGTGTAGCCAAGTGTCCCACTCTAGCCAAGCTCTCCTTTCTCTCTCAGAGATTTTACCTTCTTTTGAAGGGTTCACAGGCTCTGTTTCAGTGAGATCCCTATCCACAGGTACTGGAATCAAAGACACTAAACGGAGAGTAAACAGTGCTGCCAACTCCTGGAACTCTGCTCTGAGCCATGGCAGGAAAACCTGCCCCCACCCACCACTCTGCTGATCCTGCAGACCTGGCCAAGTGAGCACCAACAGATCCAAATCATTGATTCATTTGCAAAACAAAACACACAACAGTTTTGGTCTCAAGTTTCAAAGTAAAATGGAAGCACATGAAAGTGCCACCCCCTGAGTATACTGGGAACAGTCATGGGCCACCTCCCATGGGCCACCTCCACTCAGCCGCAGGAGTCAGGAAGGTGCAAAGACACCCAACCAAACTGATTTTGTGGGACAAATTGCTCTAGGTGCTGCCTCCACTGCATGCAGAGTAGGGTTGCAGCCGACTGGAAGGGCCCACTCTCTATGGCAACAGGCAGCTGACTGGAGGGTGGTCCCAGCCCAAAGGATGGGGTCAGAGTTTGCACTTTGGTGTTTGTAGTCAAGATCCACTGTAAAAAAAAAAATCCAGCATCCTTCCCTTTTATCAGTTAAGAACAACCACTGCATTGTAAGCTTCCCGCAGCAGGGCTACGGTCTTTTGCCAGAGGCTTGGCAATGCACACACAGTCAAGGCACAAATCACTGCACAGTATTGGAAGTCACCTCACAGAAACAAGTCACACTGAGCCCTGTGAGCCTGCATACAGGTGGGGACCAGCTCCTGGAGCAAATGGCAACCACAGCAACTCTAGCTACAGACAAGCTGGAGGCCAGACATCTCCAAGGAACAGAGCAGCATGTGGGTGTTGGAGGTTGGGTTAAGTACCTAGTGCAGGCAGTCTCCTTCTGTGGCATCTGCTAATGGAGTTCCCACTTGCTCTTTGAGAAGTCCCAGCTTCTGGGATGCAAGGACAGATACTGAAGAAAGTCCCTTCTAGAGAGATGCCTGGCATCAAAAGGCATACTGCAGGGAAGTGCTTGAAGGCTTGCAGCATTTTCAGAGCTGCAGGCTAGGAAGGTTTCTTTTGCTCAGCTCTTCATAGATTTCATAGACATCAGGGCTGGAAGGGACCTCGGAAGATCATTGAGTCCAGCCCCCCGCCCAAAGGGCAGGAAGTCAGCTGGGGTCATAGGATCCCAGCAAGATAAGCATCCAGTTTCATCTTGAAGGTGTTCAATGAAGGCGCTTGAACCACCTCCGGTGGCAGGCTGTTCCAGACCTTGGGGGCTCGGACAGTAAAGAAATTCTTCCTTATGTCCAGCCTGAAACGATCTTGAAGTAGTTTGTGACCAAGGACTTCAGAGAGCCCTATTCTGTATCTCCTCACTTCTGTGCTCGTGGCTCAGAGAGCCTATCTACCCCACTTCCAGCCTGCATGAGAGCACAGTAAAGAGATGTAGCTGCTTTCCACTGCACCTCCCAGCCCGTGGAACAAGAACAGGAGCCCAAGGCTGAGGCAGGTGTGAAGGCACGTTCTTAGCTCTCACAGGAGGGAAGAGATTTTATAGTGTGGGGAAGTGACCCTTCAAGATGGGCACTCTTGATGTTAGAGGAGAGAGTGAGGACTCAGAAAACAGCCTTAGCTAAGGCTAGCACTGGAAGGGATGGGTTGTGAGACCAATGGTCAGAATATGACCCGAGAGGGACATTTTACAGTGCCCAGTGCAAGGCTGAGACCCCTGCTCCCAATGCCCAATATGACTAAGCACCTGTCACACGCAAGTGCATAGAGGGCAGGCCTGAATTCACAGCAGGCAAGAGCAGTAGATGCTACCTCCTTGCAGTGCTTCCAACTCACATGTTGGGCGCACTTTCAAGGGGTCTGTGTTATGGCAGCAGGGGAAGCTGTTTGTGTCTGAAACCTCTGGGAGTAGGCTGACTCAGCATGGCAGGGAGCATGGAGGCACCTCTCACAGCTGCCCTCTTGAAGGGTTAACCCAGGAGTCACCTGGGCTGTTTTAAGCTTGAGAGAAAAAATCAAGGGCACATGTCAGGCCCCACTGCCTGGGGGGCACCCAGGCAGCTCTTTATAGGGAAGGAGGGAGTGTATGGGCCTAGCAGGATGCAGATAAATTAAAACTGACATCCATGGAGGCAGAAGCCTAATAGTTTAGCCACAGCAGTCTGATGGAAGAAGCAGCTCTTAAGAGAATAGAGCTGCACAACACAAAATACGGGCTACTGGATCCTACTCCTTAAGATAACTGGGCAGGGACAAAGGCTTTTGCTTCAGATTGTACAAGCCTCAATGAGTAGGCCAAACTCTTGAAATGGCCTGAGAAGCTCTGGCTCCTTCAACCTCTAGGGCTGCACCCATTAGCCAACACTGGTCCAGCCTCCACTGCTGCTCCACGTACATTTCCTGGGGCAGCTCCTGGCAGATATCACACAGCAGAGGGAAGAGTTACAAGGGTTCAGAGAAGTGTGGGGAAGGTGTGAAAATCTGGCTGGTTGACTATAGTTGGCTCTTCAAAATCACGTGACCCTGAATGGCAAAGTAGGTAGGGTCTCCACGAGAGGCCAGAGGCAAACTGACTCCTCCATTCTCAAAGTTTCAGCTAATGCACTAACTCTTGGCATGAGGAAAGCAACTGTCTTGGGACTATGGGGTTGCTTGCTCACATGACTCCTCTTCTCTGCTGTCTCTTGCTCTCTGAAGCATACTCCCAGCTGATCAACACCATCCTCCAGGCACCTGCTGCCTCTTCAACTTCCCTCTGCACTCTCAGAGAGGAAAGGATCTGAACTGTCGGACCAGCCCACGTGCTCATTCTCCCAGACTCACTCAGCTTCCGGGTGGAACAGTCACCCGACGTCAGAACTCCTGCAGGGGAAGGAGACAGGCACTTTTCACAAAGAAGGCTGAATAGGCATCTGGCTGGGGTCATCTGACCCCCGCACTCCTTCCTGCCTAAGCAGGGGGTCAGACTTGATCTATTGAGGTCCCTCCTGACCCTAGCATCTATGAATCTATGAAGGCCCCAACCAGGGAGGGCAGATTGGAAAATTAACTCTTCACTAGGAGCAGAGGAACGGGAGCTGGGAACAGGGGCTTGCAGCAGTTCATGTGAGGAACTTTAAGGGGCCTATTGAAACGCTCAAGCTGACTGCAATGACCCTCAAGAGGTTTTCAGATCTGGATGGAAGCATGTAGGCAGAGCTACAGAAAGAAAAGTGAAGGGAGGCACCAGCCTTTGACGGACACTGACATTGATCCCAGCCCCCACTCACCATTCTTCTGTTAGGGCTCTGGCCAGTTCTGCTTGTCCCGTCCCTGGTCTTGAAGCCTGGTAAGGTTCTGAGTCACAGACTGTAGGGCTTTCCCTATGGACCAAAGAGAAAACCCACCATTACCTACCACACCAGACAACGCAAGTCAAGGAAGATGTGGAGTCAGGCCACCCTATTCCTGGGTCTCTCTAACCCAGCCCCCCTCCCTCTGTTCCTCTGGCTTCCAGTTAGGAGAACGGTACAGGGACCCCTGAGAGGCAGCTGCATGGTTTGCTGTACAGGAGAAAGTGAGGGCAATTAGGGAGAACAATCTTCTCCAGCACAGCCATATTAGCAGGGGACAAAGCAGGGAAAAAGCAGACTCTGTCCCAGTCAGCTTCTCTGGCCGCATGGGAAAAAGCTACTCTTGTCTCACAAGGTGACACAGGAGCCACAGAACCACCCTGAGGTGCCTGGCTGTAAGAGGGGCAAGGGCCACAGGACAGTTATTGAGGAGAGTAATTACGGCTGATGTGCAAAAGTCTCTAGTAGCTTTTTGGCATGCACTGGAGTCAGAAAGCCATGGGTTCAAATGCCGCACAGCCCCAGGCTGCTCTAGCACCACTGGATGGGGGACAGCTTACAGATGGCATTCTGCATAAGATAGGAGTCTCCCCCCCCCCTTCCCAGTGCCAGGAAGAAATTGCCTAGGGCTTGTTTGAGAAGAGTTGGGGATAATCTTAAGGTCCTGACCAGTACTCCCCCTGGCAGGAAGGCAGGCTTGCTGCAGAGTGATAGCTGGCATTGTTGCTGCATTCCTAGCACCTGACATGCTGCATGGGGACAGTGAGAGAAGTGTCAGGCACAACAAAGCCATGTTCTACAGAGAAGAAAGATGAAGAAGAACAGAAGGAGCAAAGCAGCCCCATCACTGCACAGAAAACATACAGGCACTGATGGCAAGGGATTGGGCTGAAGGAGCAAGGTAGAAGACCTGTGCCCTGGGAGGAATAGTGCACCTGGGACCAGGAGAGGGGAAAGTGCCAGAACTCTGTTTGAAAGAGGCTGCTGCAGGGTAGCACTGTGTAGGCAATAAGCTCACTGCCAGGGCAAGGCAGAGTGCAGCAGCATGTTGCCTGTGGTGAGTATGATGGTGGCTCCCACCAGCTCTGAAGGGAGCCCCCAGGGGGGCCTCACTGGCTAGATTGAGGCTTCTGCAACACAAGACTGGGGAGGGGGGAATATAAGAATGGAGATGGGATACCCAAAAAGAGAAAAAGAGAGGAGCTGTCCAAGGTCTGCTCTCAAACAGGGGCAGTGTGGTTTGCTGTGGCAGCAGGAAAAATATACAAAAAGGGACTCACACCAGCACCAAGAGTATAAAGAGTCCCATCTGGATCGTAAAGGGGAGCAGGCTTACACCCCAATACAAGTCACACTGCAAAAACTCTACCCAAGAAGGTCTTTTTCCCAAAGCAGCAGACATGCCACAGGTCCCCAGCAAGAGCCCCAAGACCACCATCCATCTTACCCATTTCTCCCACACACTCCTCTAGGAGAGTTGACAGCTCAGGCAGGCTCAAGGATTTCAAGGAAGCTGGCCATTCTTCAAGACCTGGGAGAGAGAGATAAAGGGCAGAGAGACTTGCACTCACTTCTACAGCCTCTGCATTGCATGGCCCAAAAAAATGAGGGCTTGGACTTCAATGCTGCTGACAGCATTCACCATGAAAGTAGCTCAATTTGGGTGGGTCTGGCAAGATTTAATGAGATCCAGCATCAAATGAGTCACTTAAGTCCACACATAACAAGTACTGGTTTCTCTTTCTCCATTCCTTCCATAATTTGAAGGAATGTTTGTGCTGCACGAGTGGCTGTTTATGAAATTCTGCTACTTAGCACTCAAAATTATTGCCCTTGAGATGCTTAATAGGTCCGACACAAAGAATCACAAGGGAATGGAATCAGACTTGCTGGTTGCAGTTGCTCATTTCACTCTTGTTAAGAAGTGAAGGTTCTACTCTCATCTCTGACACCCCCCCCCCCTGTTATTCTCCTGGGATTTACAAACAGTTGTCAGTGAGGCAGCAGCACCTTTAGTGAATTTCCTGTGGTACACACCAGGTGGACTAATGCTATGCCAGGTCAGCGTGCCTACACAGGTGGGCTGATGGGGAAAGTCTAAACCTGCACAAACAAAAGTATTCCCACACATTCTTCCATCAATACAGACATTTAAAGGGCTCCCAGCACTTTCCACTTGTCTAAGATAAAAGTTCCCAGAAACACCTACACAGTTTAAAAGCACAAATCTCACCAAAGTCAACAGAACCTAAATGCTCTGGAAAATCTTACCCTAAATCACTCTTTCCTGTTTAGAAAGCTGCTCAGCCATTTGAGAGACACTCACTAGTTGCACTCTCAGTTCTAAAAAGGCACCTTTTCTAAGGCACCTCTTGTACTTACTCCAGTAACTGTATTTTTTGCTTAGTCTGATTTTGTGTTTGCTATCTTTTTTGTGTAGCCCTGTAACTATACAGAGCCAGGGCAGCACATGGCTCTGCCCCTCTCACCCGAGCCTTCTGCACTCACCCATTCTCAGCTGTGCCTTTGTCTCCAGCCTCCTGCTAGCCACATGTTCTTGATTCAGCCGGGAGGACAGCTCAGTCTGACAGGCTCTGCCAAATGGGACAAAACCCTGTTAGCAAGGCACATGGCCACTCCTAGAAAACACCATGCCAGCATGGCCCAGAAGCCACTACTATGCCCTGTAAATACCTGCTTGGGTTGCCAAGGGATCACAATTAACTGAGAGGAAACGTTTCTTCAGTTTGGCAACTCACAGGGTTACAAACTGCTCTTCATTCCTTCCCAGGCTGCGGAAGATGTGCCTGAGATTTTCGTCCATCTCCCCAGCTATCTTTGCCCCATCCACAGAGGAGCTACAGGGGAAGAAGAGGAGGAGGGGCAGGGATGAGCAGGAGAAGGCCTAAGCTAGGGGCTATCAAAGTCTGCATGATACTCAAGCCTGATCCACACACGAGTGTGGCACCTTTGTAACATAGATGTAAAGCTAAGCCAGGACTCAGCAGGTTTAGACCCAGCATCTACACAGAAAGCTACAATGGTTTGGTGTTCAAATCCCTTCACTTAAACTAGTGCAACCTTCTGTGTGTGGACAGGCCCTTAGACAGCTTTTGCTTAAAAAAAACAGAGCAAGTTTTCAGCTCTTCCTGATTATGGGTAAAGCAAACTTCCCTGCTCCTGTTCCTCTCATTGGAAGGTGAACTAAAATGGCAAGACCAATGTCAACACCAACTACTAGACTGATGATCTTGTTTGTGGATGGGAACATTGGGATGGCTTCCCTGGGGTAGGCCCCTTCTTAATTTTCCTTGGAACTACTTACTTGATCTGCTCTAGTAAGACCCCAACATCTCTCGTGATGGCCTGTGCCTCTTGCAGCTGAAGCTGGACATCATTCCAGGCCATATCTCGCTCCATCAAACAGCTCTCAACCACAGCGCGCAACTCCTGCTCCTGGGACACCTGTCCCTTCATCATTTCCACCTCTTCACATCTCTATAGCAGAAGAGAGTGGAAGAAGAGGGACCGAAACAGGAATGTTGTACATTGAAAACAGACGCCTGACTTCTGCTGAAATACCAGTGGAGCTTTCTGCTTTAGTGGTATATGGAGCCACAAAGGACCCTGGCAAATATCTCCAGCCCACCAGAAACCCAGTTACTGGTGAGATGGAAACCAGACAAGTTTCCCCATACACCTTAATGTGCGGTCACTCAAAAGCAAGGCCAGCCCTGCTTTTCATGATTCCACTTGGAACAGACTTTCTGCAAAGTGAGTGCCCCAACCTTAGCATAAGTGGACAATGATCAGGAAGAATGATCAGCATCCCCACCAGAACTGAAAATAAAAGGTTAAAGATGTGCAGAATCAGCATCAAGGCTTATGTGACCTTTTCTGCCCCTGGACCAGACACTGGAAACACTCAGCTCCTTCCCCCAAAACTACCTGCCTCAAAGAGGCATCGCAAACTATTTTACTGTTCACTTTAACTGTCTGACACAAGCTTCTGAGCCAGTATTAACACTGGCAGCTGGCCCACAGACAGTTTCTCTGTCCTGTGAGCTTAGAGCCATAGTTCTTACCTTATGCAACTGAATGGCCAGCTCCTGCATTTCAGCCTCAAGCCGATCTGCATATGCTAATTCTAGGGCATCACTGGGTGGCCGGGCACTGCTATGCCATCGAGCAATGGCAGATGTCATCTTTCTCTTGGGTCCAAACAGACTGGAGAGGTAAGCAACAAGCACTTAATAGCAATAATTCTCAAGGACCTGGCTTCAGAAGCTCCTGTCTTTATTGCTCAGGCCCATCAAAACACCCATAAATGGCCATTTAGAGGCAGCAAAAATCCATCAATATTCAGTAATTTGGGCACCTCTGAACAAGATTGACAGGGCCATTGCTTGAATTGTGCAAGGGCACAAGGCTAGAAGACCAAGGCTTCCTGCAGGTCAGGATTAAATTGCATTGGTAGAAATGCAGAGGATATCAGGTTAGAACAGCATGGTGGTGAAGGGCAAGAAACTGAAGGACACTAGCAAAACACTGGATGGGAAGAGAGAGGTTGGAAAGAGAACTCAGCAGCTAAACTCTCCTGACTCACCCATGGGTCAGTGCCACGGAGGGGATTACACCACATAGACTTACGTGATGCCTATTTCCTTCAGATCACTCTCTGTAAGGGTCAGAAAGATACGGAGGTCAACATCCTGTTCTTCAAACACCTGGAGGTACTTCAGGCACCCGATCTGCTCCAGAAATGTTGCCAAATCCTGCAGCCAGCCAAAACAAACAGGTTAGTAGGCCTATGGAGAACAGGAACCCTAACTCCTCAGCACAAGAGGCAAACAGCTTTTGTCCAGCACAAACACCTGCTGCTCCCTCACTTTATTAGGCTCTGTTCACTTTCATAACTTCCTCAGCACTGTCCAGAGTTGAATGGAAAAGAATGGCACCACATACACACACATCTGTCTTCCTGCTCACTAAAGAGTGTATTCCTCAACCTACCACTACAACATCATTAGGCAGATGGAGTTGCGTCAGACATGAATGGTTTATTATTAACACTAGATCTAGCAGGTGCACTGAAATTGGGAGAATAATAGGGACCAGAAAAAAGGCTGGAAGAGCTGTGGTTAGCAGCTCTGGGACCCACAGTGATCAGGGAGAGCAATATCTGACTAAGCCCTTCTATGTAAAAGTAGCTACTTTGTTTTAAGTGCATTGGAACTAGCAAGTTTGGCAACAAGCACCATCTGGGTGGCTAGTCTGGAATTGCAGAACAGAGCTACCTTTATAAGTGGCATATGCATTCTTGCCCCAATGCAGCAGGGAGATTCTGCTCCCCCTGTGGCTGTTACCTGGGGCCCTGTGTAGGCAGGAGGCTCTGGGAGGTTATGGACCATGCATTGCTGACTAGATGCTCCGGCTTTTCCAGGGCTGTGCGACCACTGGCTGTCACTGCTGCTGTAACGGATCTTGACCTTTGTGTAGCTTTTTGCTTGCTTCCGACTGGAGAGCTTTTTGGCATGGTCAGAGTCCTGTCAAAACACAAGCAGCAAACTGAACGACAAAGGATCAACGTATAGAATTATCTTGAATACTACAGGGGACTGTATCCCTAGGGAGTGAAGTAGCACGTAAGAATGTCCAGGGCTGCACTTCCATCTTCTTGTCTGACTTCAGGCAGGGTCTGTCAAGGGATTTCGGTAGAAACATGATACTTAGTCTTATTCATATTAATAAGGTCAATATCATGTAACTTTCACCAAGGCAGAAAAAATCCAAGTACATGATTAGTAAAGACCAAATTTCTTGTTAGCAAGAGCTAGCGATAGGAAAATCAGAGCCTAGGAAGACTCCAGTCTTGGGATGGCAGCTGAGAATGCTGCATTGACTACTCCAAAATGGGACCTCCCTTTTTCTTGGCTTGCAAATGAAATCAGACACCACATACTGAAGTCCAAAGAAATGTCAAATCCTTTGACCAGCAAAGGGATGCGGAAGCAGCTCTAAGAACTAAGGAGCCCCCCTGGTGCCTAACTATAACATACTCATGCAGCACATGCCTACAATCGGTCCCCCTCTACAGTCTCTCACCCCATTCTCATTAAAAAATTAGGAGATTGTGGTGTCGATGCCTACACAGTCAGATGGGTCGCCAATTGGCTGGAGGGCCGCACCCAGAGAGTGGCAGTGGATGGGTCATTTTCAACCTGGAGGGATGTGGGCAGTGGGGTTCCCCAGGGCTTGGTCCTCAGGCCCGCACTGTTCAACATCTTCATCAGCGACTTGGACGAAGGGGTGAAAAGCACCTTGTTCAAATTCGCGGATGACACTAAGATGTGGGGAGAAGTGGGCACACTAGAGGAGAGGGACAGGCTGCAACTAGATCTAGACCGGTTACAGGGGTAGGCGGATGAGAACAGGATGGGATTCAATACTGACAAGTGCAAGGTATTGCACCTGGGGAGGAAGAACCAGCAGCATACGTACAGGCTGGGGAACTCCCTTCTCGTCAGCACAGAGGCAGAAAAGGATCTAGGAGTCATTATAGACTCCAAGTTGAACGTGGGCTGCCAATGTGGGGACACAGGAAGGCTAACCGCACCCTGCCATGCATCCACAGATGCATCACAAGCAGGTCCAAGGAGGCCACTCGCATGATCTGGGGGCAGCAGGGCAGGCCCTACGAGGAGAGGCTGAGACCTGAACCTGTTCAGTCTCCACAAGAGAAGGCTGAGTGGGGATCTGGTGGCTGTCTACAAACTGGCCAAGGGAGACCAGCAGGCAATGGCAGAGTCCCTGTTCCCCCTAGCACTACTGGGAGTAACAAGGAATAGCGGCCATAAGTTGACGGACAGTAGATTCAGGCTAGATAATCAGGAGGCACTACTTCACAGTCAGGGCAGCTAGGATTTGGAACCAATTTCCAAGGGAAGTGGTGCTCGCTCCTACCCTGGAGGTCTTCAAAAGGAGGCTAAATAGACACCTTGCCAGGGTCTTTTGACCCCAGCATTCTTTCCTGCCTATGGCAGGGGGGCGGTCGGACTTGATGATCTGCTCAGGTCCCTTCCGGCCCTACCTACTATGAAACTACAAGAGATTTAGAACCTAGCTTTAAAAATGTCACAGGCACTCAAACTCCTGGACAACTCCTTTTGGTCTCATCATTCATCATCTTAAACAAATCAGCTGTACCCCAAAGTAATGTTGTCATTCTGCTCCCTTAATTCCAACTGATGTTCTGTCTTGTGTCACCTTTCCAAATTCCATCAATACTTATCATTACACAGTTATCAGAGTTTGATAGAGGAGACTTCCCTTCTGGCTTGCTCATGTCTGATCAGAGCATGGTACTTGAGGAAAGAGATTTTAAAAGTTATACTGAATTTTAGTGCTCACAGAGACATGGGTCAGATAGCACCAGTTAGAGCCCAGCAGCAAAGGGAAGGGAGGTTGATTGAAAAGAACAAACTAGCCTGCCAGCATGTCACAAAGCTCTTATTTCCTGGGGAGGCTAAACAATCATGACAAGTACTTATTTTTGGACAAAAATGCTATTTGTATGAGGCCCCAAGAAAGTCCCCGAAATCAAACTGGCCAAACTGAATCTCAATCTTCTCCAAGGAGGAGGCAGAGACTTTCACTCACTTCTACGGCCTCTCCTTTGCAGAGGCCAAGAAACGAGTGCTTGGACTTCGATGCTGCTGATAGCATTCACCATGAAAGTAGCTTGATTTGGGTGAGTCTGGCAAGATTTAATGAGATCCAGCATCAAACGAGTCACTTAAGTCCACACATAACAAGAACTGGTTTCCCTTTCTCCATTCATTCCATAATTTAAAGGGGACATGTTTGTGGTGCATAAGTGGCTGTTTATGAAATTTCATTGTTTAGCACTCAAAATCATTGCCCCTCAGATGCTTAATTGGCCCAACACAAAGAATCACAAGGGAATGGAATTAGGACTTGCTGGTTGCAGTTGTTCGTTTCACTCTTGTTGAGATATGAAGTGAAGGTTCTACGCTCATCTCTGACCACCCCCCACCCGTCGAGTTCTCCTGGGATTTACAAACAGTTGTCAGTGAGGCAGCAGCACCTTTAGTGAATTTCCTGTGGTATACACCAGGTGGGTTATAGGCCAGGGCACCTACACAGGTGGGCTGATGGGGAAAGTCTAAACCTGTGCAAACCAAAGTATTCCCACACATACTTCTATCATTTACAGGGCTCCCAGAACTTTCCACTTGTTTAAGCTAAAAGTTCCCAGAAACGCCTACACAATTTAGAAGCACAAATCTCACCAAAAAAAAAATCAACAGGACCTAAATTCTTTCGAAAAATCTTACCCTAAATCACTCTCTTTCCTGTTTATAAAGCCGCTCAGTCATTTGAGAGACACCACTAGTGTCTATACATAGATTCATAGATGCAGGGTCAGAAGGGACCTTGCAGATCTTCTAGTTCAACCCCCTGCTGTAGGCAGGAGAAAGAACTGGGCTCAAATGACCCCAGCTAGGTATTATCAAGCCTCCTCTTAAAGACCCCCAAGGTAGGAGCCAGCACTACTTCCCTTGGAAGTTGGTTCCAGAGGAAGCACAAGAGCTGGGATAAAAGGAAAGTGTCGCAGTTGGAGAGTTCCTGCCCATCAAGATATAACTGTACAGGGAAAGGACTTGGGCATCTGACAGACAGCTGGATCAGGACTAAACAAAATGACTTGCCCCTTTCTATTATATTTACGCAGGTTTAGAAGCTTTCTTTTCACCCTGCTGCCCTGCAACATCTCCATCCTCAGGAACCACAGTTTCATGTCAGATATACAGCCCTGGCAGGGGGTTTGTGGTTGCAGTGCCTGATTCATGTTCTGCCTACCTAAGGTGAGGTAAAAGGCAGGGCAAGATGAGACTAGACAAAAGCCTCACCTCATTGCTCTCCAGCGACCCTTCACTGCTCACCCCAAGGGCTTTGGCCAGACATTCACTGCTGCTGCTGCTGCTTCTGACTGTTGTCAAGTTTCTTGTGGAGCACATGTTTTCTTCTGGAAAGGAAAAGGATACAACAAAGGGTTTTACTTTCTCTCCTCATCCCACCACAGCCCTTACCATCTGCAGTGAATTGAGAAGGAATCACCTCATCTTACAGAGACAATGACTACACTAATTAAGCAGTAGCATAACTAGGGTATGATGACCAGGGCAGCCACTCTAGTACCAACTTGGTGGGGAGGGGAGGGGGAGTGGAAACAACTACTGCAGCTGCAGAGTTGCACCAGGG